AGTGTGGCAGAGGCAGCTACCTCCTGTGTGTGTGTGTGTGTGTGTGTGTGTGTGTGTGTGTGTGTGTGTGTGAAATGTATGCTCGTGTTGCCAGAGACAGGCGAGCAGGTCAGACAGAAAGGAAAGGGTTAAAAAAGAAAGAAAACTGGAAAGACAGAATATGGGTCAAAGCTGGAAAGGCAGAAGATGGGTCAGAGCTGGAAAGGCAGATGGCCCAAAACTGGAAAGGCAGGAGATGGGTCAAAGCATGAAAGGCAGAAGATGAGCCAAAGCTGGAAAGGCAGGAGATGGCCCAAAGCCAGAAAGGTAGAAGATGGGTCAAAGCATGAAAGGCAGAAGATGGGTCAAAACTGATAAGGCAGGAGATGGGTCAAAGCTGGAAAGGCAGGAGATGGCCCAAAACTGGAAATCCAGACGTCTTACCCGTCACAATCCACAGTTTCCAGTCCTCCTCCCTCCCTGGCACAGGAAACAGAGAACACAGAGGAGAAGACCTGCTTATGTAGGAGGCTGCAGGACGCATCATAAAGGTTTCCATGGAACCTCTGTGCAGTCACAGTCCAAGCTTGGAGCTGGCTTGAACCTTGCTTCCGCACAGCCTTGTCCCTTTAATGCTCTCTTCTGTCCCCAGCTCTCAATGCGAATCCATGGGGCCAGCCCAGTCTGGGGTGCCTGAGGTCTCTTTGTGATGCCCTGTAAAGGAGGGTGTCTATAGATTTCAACATTTATAGTTCACCAAGGGCTCAGAAATAAACAAAGGACTTTTCCCCTTTTAAAAAAGGCCCTTTCCAGACTTGGAACAAGTTCAAAGCATCAGAAGATCAAGACCAAACCAGCAACAGTTATAAATCTCTAAACTCGATCAGCTCTAACCCTTTAATAAATTCTTCGGCCTGTGCGATCCATGTAAACAATGTTTCAGTGCTCATTGCTAAATTAAGGGGTGTGATTGGGAATCATTTCAAAAGTGTTTCCTAAATTGGACGGGGTTCGTATCGGAACTATAACAAGGCAACTACTTTTTTGTTAAGTAATCCGGCCAATGGGGGAATTTCAGGGGCTCCTTTCTCTCTCATTGTGAGAGCTATCGACATGAAACTTACTACAATGATAGACCACCTTGACCACTATCAACCCACCAAGTTTCAGAATATTTCACTCATCCACTGATAGAATCATAGAATCAAAGAGTGGAAGAGACCTCATGGTACATCCAGTCCAACCCCATTCTGCCAAGAAGCAGGAATATTGCATTCAAATCACCCCTGACAGATGGCCATCCAGCCTCTGTTGAAAAGCTTCCAAAGAAGGAGCCTCCACCACACTCCGGAGCAGAGAGTTCCACTGCTGAACGGCTCTCACAGTCAGGAAGTTCTTCCTCGTGTTCAGATGGTATCTCCTCTCTTGTAGTTTGAAGCCATTGTTCTGTGTCCTAGTCTCAAGGGAAGCAGAAAACAAGCTTGCTCCCTCCTCCCTGTGGCTTCCTCTCATGTATTTATACATGGCCACCATAGACCACCACTATCAACCCACCAAGTTTCAGAATATTTCACTCATCCACTGATTTTAGGGGAATTTCCAATTTTTTGCAAACAAAAAGAGCTATCTCGTTAAATTTTCTATGCAATGATACGAGATAACAGAGGATCATTCCCCCAAGTTTCAGAAAGATTTTGCATATCTACCGATTTTTTGGAATTTTAAAGTTTTGATAAAAACTTAAGATACGCCACAGCAATTCTCTCCTTGAATGTCTCTATATGACACACAACCCAACGTAGCCCATAGAACTACAATTTTGGGGGTTTCCTCCCAGTCCATATCAGAGTTACTTCCTAGTACCAGTCAGTCCTCCTCTTTGCAGATTCAACGATTTATTGGTGCTCTGGCTGCCGCTATGGAGGGACAAATCTCTCCCCATCTCCTCATTGGGGTTTCCTGGTGCTGAGCAAATGTCTTTAGGCCTTTTGTTGCAAAAGAATAATCTTCTGTTCTGTCACGCGCTGGGCCTGTAATAATTGTCTTTTGAAATAGGACGTGCACCTTGTGCCCAGCGGGAAGCCAGGGTGCCACGAAAGAGGCCCTCAAGGATTTTCCTGAAGAAATGGTCTTTAGATGGCTTGAAAGGTTAAACAAAGTCCTTTATTATTGAACAAATTAAACAGATATTTCTCAAATCTTCAATGAGTCAAACAAATGCTTCAAGGCTTTAAATCAACTGGTCGCTTCCTTAATCTTGTCCACAAGGGACAGGCAACTCTCTTTGTTAATTGTTCTTATACTTTGAGAGGAAACCCCTTTTTTAACCTCTCCCAGGCTGTCTGTTATCTACGTTTTGTTGGTGTGGGATCTACTACCGATTCCAAACTACGTCTTGGTACCGAGTAAACCTACCAGACAAAGCTTGCAGATTCTCCAGCTGGAGTTCTTTGGGTCTGTAAAGCTGTTTTCCCTCTGGAATTTCTTTAAGGCTTTAGGGCTGTTTCCCTCAGATGCTGTAAGGCTGAGAGGCTGCAAGCTCCCAGCCAGAGCTTTGGGAATTTCCCCCCGGAATGTCTTGAGAAATGAAGCTTTTCTGCAGGTGAAGCTTGTCCACGTCCTCTAACTTAGCTTTCCTCATTAAGACTAACTAAAAATGGCCCCCTCTTCCCTTCCCATCTCCCTGGGAGGATGGGCAGATCCAAACTTAGCAATGATAGACAGGTGGCTTGCCCTATGACTGCAAACCAAAGGAAGCCACCTTTTGCAGAATCCCTAAAACTTTGGAATGCATGCAAACATTAAAATAGAAAGAAAATGAAGTTGGAGCTCCTGGTACAGACGTACCAGCACATCTTCAGCGAAGAATTATTGCAGTTTGTCATAGCCCAATGGTATGTAATCCTGGGAGTTATAGTTTTATAAGGGCTTTACAACCTTCTGTGCCAAAAAGACCAAATTGCAACCCAAGATTGCATAGCATTGAGCCATGGAAGCTGAATTTTACAGCACAGATGCAGCTTGAAACTGAACTCATGAAAAACTAGGGAAGAGATTCCATTATGAGTTGCTAGGACAGTGTTTCTCAACCTGGGGGTTGTGAGGGGATTTCAGAGAAGTCGCCAAAGACCATAAGAAAACATATATTTCTGAAGGACTTAGAAACGCCTTTGGCAGAGAAGGCTGAATATCTCTCCGCCTGTCCTTCTCTTCCTTTTTGGAAACTGATGGGGAATCCTCCCACCAAAAGCCCTCCTCTGCTTTGATTGGCCGGCCTCTCAGCCAAAAGAAGGGCTGTTTCTGAGACTCAAAGCGGAGAGGGGACGGTGGGTGTGCACAGCGCATGGCAGCATGGTGTGCATCTGTAGGCAAAGGAGAGTGTGTGAGGCCGGAGGGAGGCGCGCATCAGTGAGTCTCTTCGAGGCATGGAGGTTCTGTGTGAAAAGTTTAGCCCAATTCTATTGCTGGTGGGTTCAGAATGCTATTTGATTGCGGGTGAACTATAAATCCCAGCAACTACAACTCCCAAATGTCAAGGTCTATTTCCCCCAACCTCCACCAGTATTCACATTTGGGCATATTGAGTATTTGTGACAATTTTGGTCCAGATCCATCATTGTTTGAGTCCACAGTTCTCTCTGGATGGAGGTGAACTACAACTCCAAAACTCGAGGTCAATGCCCACCAAACCCTTATGTTGGTCATTGGAGTTCTGTGTGCCATCGTTCAATTCCATCGTCGGTGGTTCAGAATGCTCTTTAATTGTAGGTGAACTATAAATCCCAGCAACTACGACTCCCAAATGACAATATCAATCCCGCCCCCAACCCCACCAGTATTCAGATTTGGGTGTATTGGGTATTTGTGCCAAATTTGGTCCAGTGAATGAAAATACATAGAATCATAGAATCAAAGAGTTGGAAGAGACCTCATGGGCCATCCAGTCCAACCCCATTCTGCCAAGAAGCAGGAATATTGCATTCAAATCACCCCTGACAGATGGCCATCCAGCCTCTGTTTAAAAGCTTCCAAAGAAGGAGCCTCCACCACACTCTGGGGCAGAGAGTTCCACTGCTGAACGGCTCTCACAGTCAGGAAGTTCTTCCTCATGTTCAGATGGAATCTCCTCTCTTGTAGTTTGAAGCCATTGTTCCGCGTCTTAGTCTCCAAGGAAGCAGAATCCAAGGAATTATGAATCAGATATTTGCATTATGATTCATAACAGGAGCCGAATTATAGTTATCATGTAGTGACGAAAATAATTTTATGGTTGTGGGTCACCACAACATGAGGAACTCTATTAAGGGGTTGCGGCATTAGGAAGGTTGAGAAACAATTGGTTTATTTGAAGAATTACATGAGAATTGCAAGAACAAGAATCAACTGGAATCAAGTGAGATCAATAAAATAGAAATCTTCGGGGAAGGGCTTTGTGTCTTCTGCTGCCTTTTGTCTTTGTTCAGAGATGCTTCCATTCGACCAGTCCTCTATTTTCACTTGCAGATCACAAGGGCGTGCTAAGCAAGGAGGGGAGAAAATAATAAGTTTCATTTCTGCAACATCCCATCTCCCGTTAAACATTACCACTTA